GAAATGGATGCCTCCATTTCCATTATCCGACAGAAGACGAATGGGTCATTACCATTATTATAGCCATTGGTGGTTCCCAGAGAGAACTGCAGGCAGACGAACTGCTCTCTGCTACTAAATGGAGCAGAAAGCTCCTTTATTGTCTCCGGAGCAGCGTTGTTAGTAGCACAGGAGCGATGGATTTGCAGGGGGTGGTGGGCAGGCGGTCCAACAGCTGCTTGGCAGGAAGGCCCCCTCAATTGGCATGCTTTGTATGGAAAAGGGTGAACATCATTTGGAAAGAATTAGTAGTCAGCCAGGATATGAAACCAAGCAATCTCAATCCAGAATCCAAGCCCTTAACCGTGGCTGCCACACGGTCTCCTCCATGGAGGTTAGGACCCGGCAGTGTACAAGGGAAGGAAGACACCTTCATGGCAGAGGAGGAGGAGGTGAAGATCCCTCATTTCATATACATACACGAGGAGATATCTTTATGATTGCCTGTAACATCTAAAAGAAGATACATTTCTTTTTGTTTTGTTTTGTTAATCCTCACCAGAGGATATCTTCTCCATTGATATTCAGAGGGAGTGGAAGAGGGGGAGAGACACACACATCAACTGGTTGCCTCCTGCAAAGCACCCTGTCTGGCACCAAGGTACGTGCCCTTGACTGTCTGTGGACCAATGCTCTACCCACTGAGCCAAACCAGCGAGGGCAAGAACCTACATTTCTGAGGTCAACAATTTGTTTAGACCTAACTACTATGTCAGTTACGATTTATAACAACTCTTCCTCCTTAACCTCAGAGAGAATTTCCCCTCACTTATTGGGAGAAACCAACTGTGATGACAGACTACATGAGCCAACTTCAGTTAGTGACAGCCCAGCTACTCAGATATTGCAACACGGGGCCTTTCTGGGGTGGGAGCTGGGAATACAGATGGGTTTGCTGAAACTTGGCCCTAAAGCAGAATTTCGTGGCAGGAGCTCAGGGACTATGTAACCCAGTCAGCCATAATCCATCCTAGTAATTCTCTATTTTACCCATATATGTGTTTTCACATTGTAAGATGTAATTGATGGTATGTGATAGTTTTATAGTTCAAGCAGCATTTTTTTTTCTTTTTCAGTGGTTCATAAATAACAGTGTATCTTACAATGAATGAAATTGTAGATTTGATGAAATATGGTAATTACACTAAACATATATTGAATTCCACTATAGTTCAAAGTCTAGATTAGGCTAGAGATGGGGGAATGAATGAAATGGAGTCCCTAAACCCAAGCAGCTAGAAGACAGGAAAACAAGTACATGCCTCCATTTCCATTATCCGACAGAAGACAAACGTGTCATTACCATTAGTATAGCCATTGGTGGTTCCCAGAGAGAACTGCAGGCGGACGAGCTGCTCTCTGCTACTAAATGGAGCAGAAAGCTCCTTTATTTTCTCAGGAGTAGCGTTGTTAGTAGCACAGGAGCGATGGATTTGCAGGGGGTGGTGGACATGCAGACCCAGAGCTAAATATTTTGCTGGGGATGAAATGTTGTGGTGGCTGGACACACTGTGGGCATCCCCTGGGTAAAGTGGGGTGTGTTTAGGGGGTAGGGGCATAAAGGAGAGAAGTGGTGAGAGATGAGGCATGAAAGCAGTTTGGAACCAGACGACTGACCAGTCATGAATGCTTAACCTAAGGAACTTAGGCTTTATCTTTAGGTCAGTGGTTCTCAAACATTTTGGTCTCATGACCCCTCTATACTCTAAAAAATTACTGAGGACCATAAAGACCCTTTGTTTATGTGTCTTACATCCACTAATACTTACATAACCATGAATGTCCTCAGCACCACCCTCATCCTCAAGCTTGTCGTTGTTCTAAGGTATGAGGTAAAATGTGCTAACCCTTCCCAAAGGGCTAAAGCTGGCAGGATGAAACAGTTAGTACTGCACTGTGGAATGGAGCCCAGGAAATAAAACAAAGGCAGAGATAGTCAGTTGTAATAAAAGTAAACTATTAAAACCTCAGTGGCCCTGCCTGCCAAAGATTGCATCCCTCAGCCCCTATCAGGCCCACATAAGCCCCAACGACTGCTGATTGTGACGCATTGACCTAGAGAGCCTGGGTGTGTTTTTTTCTTAGCATCATCTGACATAACGAATATGATGCACACTTTACCAATCACGGCTTAGAAGCCCCCCTGCCTAGCCCTGGGACAGCAAAGGGGCCACACTGCTGGTTTTTGGGGTGTGATAGAGGTGCCAGGCAGGACGAAAAGACAGGCATGAACAAGGAGGTCAGAAAGGCCTACGTGTGAATTTCAGCTCCATCACTCACTACTGGGTCACCATGGACCAGTCCTTAACCTACTCATTGGTAACACTTCTTCATCTTAAAACAGGTACCTTTAAAATAAATGAGAGGATGCAGGGAAACTGATCAGCAGATGTCTGTGAACACAGCAGGTACTCAAGAGGGCGCAGATTCTCTGGCGATTATGACTCATGAACTGGCTCATGTCTACTAGTAAGTAATTGCTTGTTTGTTTTTAACAGACACTCTCTACAGTAAACTAACTATGACTACAAATTCTTACTAATGTTCCCGTTGACAGGTGGAGTCCAATCCCTCACCCCTTGAACCAGGGTTGGTCTTAGTGACTTCCTTGGCTGAAGCACTGTCTTGGGATTCCGAAGCCTAATTCATAAGGAGCCTTGCAGGCGTTGCCCTGGCCTCACAGCCGTGAGCCGCCATGCAGGAAGTCTGTACACCCTGAGGCCACTATGCTGTGAGGAAGCCCCACTGTGTCATGTGAAAAGGCCTCAGGGAACAATAAATGTTGGGCCAGCCCCAGCTGTTCCAGCCTCCAGCTGCTGGGGTTATGCCAGCCCAGATCCCAGACACTGGAGTCTCTGCCAACCCCTGCCCAAATTGCACATTCGTGAGCAAAATAAATGACTGTTAATGCTTTAAGCTACAAAGTTGTGAGGTCGTTTGTTATGCAACAAAATATAATCAGAACACTCTCTTTATCAGGTCTCCCCCCCCATTCAAAATTATCAATTTGCTGAGTTATATTAAGTCACTATTAAATCTATGTTGGTTCTGTAGTTCTCAAGCCTATTTTAGACACTGAGTAACATTCTGTTTGTGGACACTGTTAATCTAGGCATAACTTACTAATTGGCTGACCAATGATATATATGAGCTATTATGTGTGTATGTGTATGCATGCATGGCAGATATTTTTCTAAATATCCAATTCCTCTCATGAGAGAAAAATGCTACAATAACAGTACTTCATCTCAATGAACTTGTGAAAATCATGCTCTGAAGTCAGACTAATTGAATCTAGTGCCTGAGTGCTCCACCCTCCCAGCTCTGTACAAAGCTGGGCTCTAGCCCACAACCAGCTACCTAGTAATCAGAGCAGTTTATCAAAGGCCACTATCTACCTTCCTCCTAACCAGTAGGAAGCTGCCTACTCTGGGCTGCTTGCATTGCCAGGCGAGTTTGCAAGGAAAGTGTTAAGGCAGAGTAGGTTTATGCAGGGATCCAGATAATCTTTGAGGAAACCCCTTCAGGTTTTGCATATGCTCCACTTTGAAAGGGCCTTGTGACAGCATAAGACTTGACTCTGAACCACGGAATATTCACCTGATGCCTTTCAAACAATATTGGACTTTATAATATTATGAAAACTTTGGGGCATATAATCAGCATAGGTGAAAAATATTTTGCTGCCTCCCAAATTGTCTATACTCTTTTTCATTTCCTGGTTCTTCTGCCTGCAAAGGCTGTCTCTCCTTCTTGAGGGTGAGGGTGTGTGTGTGTGTGTGTGTGTGTGTGTGTGTGTGTGATCTTATTTACCCTTCAGATGTCCCCTCTCCCGGCAAGGCAGAATTAATCATTCCTTGATGACATTGCTTCTTCAATCTGTAAAGCCTTTTCTTTAACAAGAAAGCTAATCATTAAAAATAAAAAGAAGCAACAATAAACCCACAGTCCTATGGAATACATGAAGAAAGGACTTAAGAGTCCCTATAACTCTTGGCGACATTCCACCAGGCTGAAAACGGGTTGACGTGATCTGTGTTTCAGGGATTATAATTCAGCAGCAGAAATGAGTTGACTAAAATACCATCCAGAATGCTGTCTGTAGATAAAGTGCTTTGAACTGGGGTGCAACATAACCTGAATTGCTAAATTCTAAGGGCTGACTGATGATTTGCATCTCAATTTCTTTTCATGCTATTTTGTTGGCAAAAGTTAAGGAGCCACTCAGCCTAAGAGAAATAGGCCCTCTATTTACCTCGGCAAGAACCAGACAAACACAATGAATTCCAGATTTTCCCAACTCAATGGCTTTTGTTTGACTCGGAGTGGGTCAGTCTGAACATCAAACCCACCAACTGGTATTGGTTTTTATATTCATTCGTTAACAATTCCTATCTCAAAGGCTATACAGGCATTAAGTAGCACCTGGCACTTTGCAGCACAACCCACAAAACACGTGAGCAACATGCAGAAAGTCATAATTGAATACTTTTCACTCTGTCACCAAACTTAAATTACATTTTCAACCCTCATTATTTAAGAACATGTATAACTATGCAAAACATTCCAAGCCAAAGGCGGTGCAGATACTGAATGGTAACGGGTGCCAAGTAACAAAGTCCATAAAACACAGCCTACCATTCCTTCTCCATGGGAAACTTACAGAGAGTCACACTGGAACACCCTTTATTCTGCCACAAAAACAAGAGCAATAGTGTTTTTGACACTCACTCTTGAATTAACTATGCTGAACATGTTAATTTAGAATTATTGTGACAGAGTCTACATTACAATGGATACCCAAGGCAACAGAGTAACTTAGATGAAAAAGAGGGAAAATTTACTGTCCTCTCTCATTGACCAAACCCTGGTCTTCCTCCAGAATGTGTGTAAGTTTCTGGCACTGGACAAACGATAACATTTTTATATTCTAGGAAAGAATAAAGGCGACATCAACTTACTTAACAGTTGGCAATAGAGGGCCTGTAAACTTCTCTTCATGGTATCATCTGGTCCTTCTTGTCCTCCAGTTTATTCATGATTCTGTCTGGGAAATTGGGAGAAGAAAACTGTGATATCAAGTCAATAATCAGAAAGAACTCCACTTCACATGATCCTAGTTGTAAAGGCCACCAGTAAAACACCTGCCTCTGAAGAGGAAACATTCTTGGACTGCATACACCATAGTTTAATTGACAACAGTGTATGTTATAAAACTCCCAGTTAGCCAATTGGTCAAATCCTAAAACTATGCACACCACTGAAGGAAAATTACATGGGTAACTAGAGAGTAAGAATCAGACTTTGGAACTTTCGAGGCTTCCAATTAATTTCCCCTGAATCTCCTGAAACAAGAGAAAAAAATAAAAAAAATATTTTTATTGATTTTAGAGAGGAAGTGAGAGGTAGAGAGCGATAGAAACATCAATGTTGAGAGAATTAGTGATTGGCTGCTTCCTGCACACCCCTTACTAGGGATTGAGCATGCAACTGCAACCCGGGCATGTGCCCTGCCCTGGAATTGAACGGTGACCTCCTTGTTTATAGGTTGGTGCTCAACCATTGAGCCACACAGGCTAGGAGAAACAAAGAAATTTCTAATCTCATTTCCACTATGGTGCTCACCAAACAAACAACCCAAAAATCTTTGGGTTGAAATTATATATTAAATAACTTTTCTGTTATTTTGTTATAAAAGATACCTCTAATACAGAACATTTGGAAAATGTAGCTAAACAGAAAATATAGGTAAGAAGATACAAGAACATACAAATGACCTATCTCTCCAGCCTTTCCTGTGCCCTTCTATTGGTCAGTTTCATTTACATATTATACATTCTAAATTTTTCTCTCTCTGTGTTGTAACTATTACTTTACTGCTTTATTTTAAATGGCACACAGCATTACTTTAAGTAAATTCCTAGAAATGAAATCACAAGGACACAACTTACAGCTTTTGAAATATGTTGTCAAATTGACCTTCATCAATACCAGTATCAGGATATCCATTAGACTACAACCTACCCAATAAGAAAAATTTATAACTTCTTTCCATCTTTGCCAAGGAAACAGGGAAGTGTTCCATCGCTTTACTTTAGTTTGCATTTTATGCATTTACTAGAGACCCAGTGATGAAATTCATGCACGGGGGTGGGGGGGTGTTCCTCAGCCCAGCCTGCAGTCCAGGAAGCTGTCAGTCGAATATCCTTAGTGCTACCGCGGAGGTGGAAGAGGCTCCCACCACCACTGCTGCACTCGCCAGCCATGAGTCTGGCTTCTGGCTGAGCGGTGCTCCCCATGTGGGAGTGCACTGACCATCAGGGGGCAGTTCCTGCGTTGAGCGTCTGCCCCCTGGTGGTCAGTGGGCATCATAGTGCCTGGTCATTCCGCTGTTTGGTCGATTTGCATATTAGCCTTTTATTATATAGAACTAGAGGCCCGGTGCACAAAAATTTGTGCACTCGGGGGGGAAGGGGGGGTCCCCTCAGCCCGGCCTGTGCCCTCTCGCAGTCTGGGACCCCTCGGGAGATAACGACCTGCTGGCTTAGGCCTGCTCCCAGGTGGCAGAGGGCAGGCCTAATTCCTAGGTGCAGCCCCTGATCGGACTCAGAGCAGGGCCGATGGGGGAGTTGGGGCGCCGCCCCCCGTCATGCACAGAGCAGGGCGGATTGGGAGGTTGTGATGCCACCCTCAGTCACGCTCAGGGCAGGGCCGATTAGGGGGTTGGGGCACCGCCCCCTGTCACACTCAAGGCAGGGTCGATGGGGAGGTTGTGGCACCACCCCCTGTCACGCACAGAGCAGGGCCAATCAGGGGGTTGGGGAGCTCCCCCGTATCAGGCACAGAGCAGGGCTGATCAGGAGGTTGGGGCGCCTTCCCCTGCCACAAACAGAGCAGGGCAGATAGGGAGGTTGTGGCCCCGCCCCCTGTCACACACAGAGCCGCAGGGCGGTCAGGGGGTTTGGGCGCTGCCCCCTGTCACGCTGATCCCGGTGCCGGGAGGCCTCTCGGCTCCGCTGATCCCGGTGCTGGGAGGCCTCGCGGCTCCGCTGATACCGGTGCTGGGAGGCATATTACCCTTTTACTATATAGGATAGAGGCCTGGTGCATGGGTGGGGCTGGCTGGTTTGCCCTGAAGGGTGTCCTGGATCAGGGTGGGGGTCCCCACTGGGGTGCCTGGCCAGCCTGGGTGAGGGGATGATGGCTGTTTGCAGCTGGTCACACACCCTTCAGGGTGGGGGTCCCCACTGGGGTGCCTGGCCAGTCTGGGTGAGGGGCTGAGGGCTGTTTTCAGGCTGGTGAGTGACTGAAGCTCCCAACCTGTCCTTTTTTTTTTTTTTTTTTTTATTCTGGGCAAGCTTTAGCTCTGGCTCCAGCTCTGAGGCCTCTGCTGCTGAAAGCAGGTATCTGGTTTGTTTGGATTCTATAATCGAAACAATGTATAACTCTAGCTCTGAGATCCCGGCTCGCTGAAAGCAGGTTTCTGGGGTTTTGTTTAGCTTCTATATTTGTTACAATGTTTCAAACTGCAGGCTCAGAGGCCGGCAAGGCAGGCGGGGAATGTTGGTTTCCTCCGTCACTGAAGCAAGCAAGCCTCATGTTAGTTTCAAGCTGCCTGGCTGCTGGCCGCCATCTTGTCTGGCAGTTAATTTGCATATTGCCCTGATCAGCCAATGGGAAGGGTAGCGGTCGTACACTAATTACCATGTTTCTCTTTTATTAGATAGGATTAGTCATTTGTCTTTAAAAATTATTTTAATTCACATTTGACAAAGATGCTTCAGTCAGGCTCCTCCTGAACCTCCTTAATAGTCCCTTCCATGCACTTTCTTGTCAAACCTAGTTTTAGCAAGAACCCTGCTAAGTCAGTTTAATTGCCCCCCCCCACCCCATCAATATCTAATCACCCTCAATATATGATCTGGTCCCTCATCCTCCACTACCCACAGGGGATGATCATCCTGGCTTGTCTTCAGCAAGAATTCTGACAGGTCAGGTTAGCCAGAAGGCCTTGATGTTTTATCTTAGTATTTTCTATCCAATGATCCTGACCCCTATTCCTTCCTAAATTCTCACTTGCCCACATGTATTAGGGTTTGAGCTGAATCTCTCATCCCCACAGTAAAATCCCATTGCAGTGGTCCCTAAGCCTATTTCAATGATCCAGAATAAAGTCTGCCTTACAACTTTAACAGTGTCATTAAATACTTTTTTCTTTAACACAGTCTTTAACCATTCTCTACTGGCATGCTGGAATTTTTTGTTTATGGTATCCCAAGTAGAATTGATTTATCTTCAAGATCTTGAATTGAGATATTGTTTCTCCTTTAAAGTATACAATTCACTAGTTGTCAGTGTACTCAAAAGTTGAGCAACTATTGCCAGTCCCTAATTCCAGAAAATTATCACTCTAAAAAGAAACTCCCATGTTCATTAGCAGGCATCTCCTGCCTCAATCCCTGGCAACCACTAATCTACTATGGATTTACTTATTCTGTACATTTCATATAAATTGAATCATGCAATACATGGTCTTTTGTGTCTGGCTCTTTCACTTAGCATAATGTTTCCAAAGTTCATTCATGTTATAAAGCATGCTATTTTTTCCTTATTTATTTATTTTAAGAATCACACACACACATGCACATGCACACTCACTCACACTACTATGGTTAGAAAGTTTTAGTCCAGGATTACATAAATAGTTGCCTGTACTTTCTTTTGGAGTTGTTTTTACTTCTTTTAGATCTGTTTCTGGACTTTGTATCAGGTTTTACTTCTTTGTTTGCTCATCCTTCCACCCTAAGTGTTTAAATTACTCTTGATAGAATTGGTCCTTCATTTTTACTCTTCCTTTTAAGATTTTCCTAGTTCTTTGAGCTTATTTATCCCCCAAATTAATTTCCAAATCATTTTATTACATTCCAGAAAAGTAATCATTGCGATTGTAGTTGGAATTATCTTCTACTTGCTTTATTACTTTGAGAGCTGATCTCTTCAAAATTGGAGTGTGGTGAAGAGAAAAAGAAATGATATTTTAGTCTGTTGCTCCAGAGATAAGAATTCTTCTCAGAGGTGAGAAGTGCTATTATTTTGGAGGGGAAGGAGTGGTATAGTTCAATGACTTCTTTGCTTAGGAAAATTGAAGTTCCCTGAGCCCCTGGTGTCATCTGGATGAGTAAGAGGAGAGAAAGAGATAGTTAAGCTCCTCTCCATTATAAAATAACAGGAGGTTTGAGTTCCCAAGGGCTATGAAGGAGGGGTTAAGTGATTCAGAAATCAGAGAGGCTGAGATGATAAAAGATGTTAAGAGACAGAAAAAAAGGCAATTCTAGAAAACAGCAGCAGGTGGGAGCTAAGAATAAAGGATAAAGTGAGAAATTCTCCACAGGAAATGACCCACAAACTTTAAGATATATAATAGTTAATTTTTCATTGCATCTTTTTTATGCTTTTTGTATTTATGTACTCTATCTGTCTTCCTTCTCCCCCACAATGCTTATTTACCACTAGCACCCTTAAAACATCAGCAAAAGTCTTATACAAAATAGCCCTGTATTGGTGGTGCTCAGCTGGGCATGAAAGAAAAGATACCATGGCCCAAGACAAGAGTGACCAGGAAGAGAGGTAGAAGCCACTGGAGCCCAAGCAGTGGTTAGTAGACATCTAAGGAGGGCTTAGGACATGTTAAGTACTCATAAACATACGGTGGTTAAATAAATGAATAAATTAATGATCAAGTAACAGGAGAGCAGAGAAATAGTTTAGTTTGTATTGATCAAGGAGAACATATGCGCCTTAATCATCTATGGAAGTTCTTAGAGATTTTCAAGAAACTGTTTGACTTTCTACAAGGTGTGGCCTAGAGCCATTTTATTCACATAATAAGAGAAGACAGATCCCATATATCTGGGACACTTGAGATCATCTGGGTTACATAGGGCTAGCCCAACTATAACCACCACATGGCCTTGGATACATTCAAAGCTATGTTGATTTAGGCCTTTCTGTGGAGTTTTGCAGTGTTTTTTCTTCATGTAAGCTCTA